CCAGCAAGCGCATGAGCCTTTCACAAAGATAGCTTTAGAGGATGGAATACTGAGAGCTGACACCAGCTGAGAAAGAGTAATGGGTTTTCATGCTTGTGGATTTGTCTGCTATTTGAAGCTCAATGGCACACTTGCGAGATAAAGAAGGTATCCAAAGATACATGACCTTGTACAATTGGGCTTGGCCATTTAAACAGCTCACTGATTTTGTTTCCAATTTCATCCCTGGATGGAGAAGATGGAATTGCCAAATGAATTGTTGAGTTTCGGTTCTTCATATCCAATTTGTGGAACTATTTATATAGAAGTTTCAGTTCTTTATGGGAATTGTGTTTTTGCAAAGTGTAAATATTTATTCATGTAATTAATTTTTAAGTGAATTGCTCAGATTTCCTTCATATATACAATCAGTTTGCTGCATATTGTTGGGATTTTTTTTTTTTTTTTTGCCAGTATTATAAGATGAATCTAAAACTTTTGTCCACAAGTTATGCAAAGTGTCCGTGTCATTGTATATGAGCGCTTTTAATTAAACAGGAATAAAGTCTCTTTGAAAGTGAGGAAAATGACAGTTTCTAGATGTTTATCTTTTTTTTTTTTTTTGCAAGTTTGTTTCCAATTTTGAGCCCTCAAACACTCAAAGTCTTCAAGGAAACCTTCAAACTTCATTCTCCTCTTATTTTCTTCAGAATTAAACCGTATTCTTGAGATTAATTTGTTGAGATGATCCAACGTTGAGTGTTGGTAATCTGACATGTTTGAGTGTTGTTTGATTCATATATATTTGGGGAGTTAAATGAAGTTGTTTTCGGTTCTTCAATGAATTTAACAATTGGAAATATAAATCTCACATTTTGGTTCAAACCCTAAGTTGTAAGAAGGGGGATTAATATCTCTTAATTAAGACTTAATTGAGGGGATCCAAATCCTATTCCGTTAAGATGCTTTTGCTTTCATTAAATAGTTAAAATGAAGAAAAATTGTTCTCTTTGTATTCTATTTTGAACTCGATAGGTTTTATTAAATTATTCACAGTTATACCAATAAAGGTTGATCTACTTGGTAAGGAATTGGCTCATAATCTACAAAGTTATGAAATCGAGTCCATGTGAGGACTTTGTTGTAGATAATTGCAAGTACGTCCATAAGCATTCATTTTTTTGTTTTTAAAAACTACTCTCTCCATTTTAAATTATAAGATACTTTTAGATAAAATTTTATATATTAATAGACCTTATTAAATAACTTAAAAACCTTATTTTTTAAACAAAATTATGAATTTTAAAAATATCTTCATTTAATAACCTTAAATCTATACTTAATTAGTATTAAATAGAGAGAAAAAGGCTAATATTGGAATACGTTTATTTAATAAAACTTATCATCTCAAAGCATATCATATTTTAGGATAGCAAATCTCCACCAAAAGTGCCTTTTTATTTGAGATTGAGGGAGTATTTTGCAATATAGTTTTTAATTTTTTTTTGAAATAAAACAAAAGGAAAATCCATTTAATTGTGTTAATGTAAAAAAAGTTTTAGGGTAAAAAATTGGCTGGAGTGATGGTCGCCCGTAGTTAAGGGTAGCTAGTGATAGTAATTGATCAAGGTAATTTTAGTTTTTGATAATCAAATGTAATGTTTTTCAAAAAAAAAATGAAAAAACTTTAAAATGTTACTGTTTTTTATTTTAAAAACAAAAAAATAGAACAGTTTAGAAACAATTAAATTCAACACTTATTCAAATCATTTTTTATTTTCTTGTTTTTAAAAACAAAGAATATTTTAAAAAAAAGAAAACAAAACAAGCCTTATTTTGGAAATTTTCTCCTAGTTTTCTCTTTTCTTTATTTTCTCCTCACTTTTCCTTTCATTAAAATCAATTGCCCAAGGGAAAACAATGATAAAAAAGGTCTTTTTCCTCTAGTTTTCTCCCCTAATTTCCCCCCCTCTATATTTCTTCACATTCCAAATAAAGCCTTACTAAGTGAAAATAATATTTTATTAAAATTTTATTTGTCTCCGAGTTTTCTTTCCTTCATAATTCCTTCCCGGTTAAGTTTTAGTCTAGTCAGGTTAAGCCATGTGCAAAGTAGGCCCAACCTAGGCCATGTGACATGCAAGTGGTTTGATGCACGCCTCGTAATTTTGAACTTGACTCTTGAGATTATTATGTCTTTTTTTTTTTCTTTTGTTTCGAGAAATCAGACATTAAACTTATGAAATATTATTCTCCTTTTATTTTATTTTTTTAAAAGAATCTATTAAGGATACAGCACCCTTTCCTATGCCATTTCAAAGTCAAGAACCAAACAGTTGTGTGATAGAAACTGTGACAAAGATAATCAAATTAAGAAGATTGTTCAACACGTGAAGGATTATTGCATGGATGGTTTTGAATTTGATTTTGTCCTAATGCTGAGCATGATTGAGTAAATTAAATGAAAGAAAAAGAGGCATTAAGCACATTTTTTATATAAGTATTATTTTTTTATAAGTAGAATAAGGTGTAATTTCCATTAACAATAGAGATTATCTCTTCCAAAATACCGTGAGCAAATGTTAGACATCTTACAACTAAAGAAAACTAGTGTCAGTGCTTATCATACAGATGAGTACTGAGAGTTATTTCATTTAGACCATTCAGATATAATCTACATGATCCAATTTATAGCTTTTTATTTTATTTTTTTAAAAATTATTTAAATGAATACTTCTAAACTATAGACACTTTATTATTGTTAGTTTTTTGAAAAAAAATAATTTTATTTAAAAAAACCCATTGAAAACTATAAATCTAGACCATGAAAAATTATATCTAAACAGTTAAAGGTAACAAACTCTCAATGCTTACTTACAATGATAAGCAGTAAAACTGGTTCTCTAGAAAAGTTGGTACATACACAAGGTATTATTGTCATTATGAAAGTATAGTCCCTTTCTATTCATTTAAATATATTCTCTTCATTTAAATACTGGCTACTAATATGAGGACTTAATTGATGGGTGATCTATAAAGCATAGTATATATTAAAAATATATTATCTTCACTATTCTACTCTTTTCCTTTCTTTTTTTCTCTCCTAATTTCAAAGAAAACATAACAGCAAAAAAAAAAAATATAAAGCATGGTCCAACGACCTGTTTACCAATAAATTATTCTTTTTTTAAATAATAAAAAGACTGGACTATTGTGGCCATGTGGACGATGATGAATTATTATGTCTTTTTTTGTCCTCTTATACTGGTGATTGATTTGATTCCCTTTGATTAATTTAATTTTGTTTGTTTGTGTGTGTGTGTGTTAGTGGTTAGAGTATGTAATATCGATGAAATAACCTTTTATTAAAATTAAGTGTTTGCAGGAAATTATATTTATCAACTCGATTGGATATTTTACACAAATTTTAATGCATCATTATATAAATAAAATTGTTGATATATAGTCCTATTTTATAATTTATTAATTAAATTTTTGTTAGGAATTAAATTAAGGAGCAATAAAGTCACATATAAAGGATACTAACATTTGCATGGAGATCGTGAGATAAAATAACTAAACAAACAGAGACATGTAATCAACTGTTGTTTTAAAATGTTAAAAATCATATTTAATTCGTATAACTTGATGGTTTTTCTTACTATATGGGATACAATTAATATGTAAAAATCACTTCCAAAATTTATTCTTAATTTCCCATCTTGTTAAGAAATATTCAGGATCAATATATAAATATAAAAAAAAAAACACACACACCACACAGACGCTAAATTAAATCACCTTGTTTTTAAGTCAAACTTTCATATGAATTAATTTCGGGTAATGTATAATGAAACAAGTCGATCTTTTCCTTTAAAACTTTATGAGAAACTAAATATCTTTCCCATACAATACACATTCCAAAGCTTATTGAAATATCCATGTACAAAACATTGGAAGAAGAATGAAAATAAGATCTTATTCTATCTCGTGGTCCTTCACATGTTTCAACAATGTTTGAAAACTGATAACTCGTCCAAAGGTCTCATTAATTTATTATTCTAAAATTTGTTTTTATTTTTTTTATATACAATGGCATTTTGGCAAGAGCAAATGCGATTTTAAATTCATTTTTTTTTGTATTTTCACCACTAAACTTTTAAAATTGTGGCAATCTTCACAATCTTCTTCTTGTTGTTAACTTTAATCATTAATTGATTAGAAAATTATAGAAAATGACCTCAAATATTATAGAAAGAGATCAAAAGAATTACAAAAAAATGACCAAAAAATTATAGAAAATGACTAAAAAATATAACTTATGACTTTTTGTCCTCATATGTGATTCTTTTTCTCTTTTTCTATAATTTCTTATGCTTTTTTTGTAATTTTTTAATCAATTAACAGTTAAAGTTAATGGTAGGGAGAGATTGCCACAATTTTAAATGTTTATGAATAAAATGCACAAAAAAACGAGTTCAAAATATCATATATTCATGGATCTATAATTTAAGGGGTTAAAATGTCATTTTAACCTCTTTTGTTTAAAAAAAATAAAAGGACAACTCATAAAAGAACTACAAGCCAGAAGGAAATAATGTCAGCTATATCCCAATCATGTGGACGATGGCATCGAAGTCTGGGTCCCATGTCTCACAAGCAAAACAGTATCCTTGTCATTCTCCATTTCTCCATCGATCTTTATATAATTCCTCTCAGCTCCTCTTTATCATCATAACATCATATTTGCAGTTTTTGTTAGTACCGAGTTTCTGCAATAATGAAGCTTGAATTCCTACCACTCGTTGTACTTCTCACAGTGAGCTTCTACTTAACTCCTTTCTTGTTTTTTCACCCTATTTTTTACTTTTGGCCAGTGAATGTATTTAATTTGTGTATATTATATAAATGAAATCACAGATTGCCCATGCTGCATTTCCTCCAGAACTTTACTGGAAATCCATGCTTCCCAGCACTCCCATGCCCAAATCTATCACAGATCTGCTCCACCCAGCTGGTTAGTATATTGTAGAGCTCATGTGTTTTTTCTTCTACCAAGTTAAAAATTCACATTATTTATCTTAATGTAGTATCATATGAAAATTAAATGTGGATTTGAGCCAAACTCATGATTTGGATCCATAAAAATTCATGGAATCTAAATCTAAATCCATGATATATTATAATTTTCTTGTAATTTTAAATTTTTTCCCCTAGATCCTAGTTACTTGAAATTTTAATTATTCCAACTCTCATTTTATTTACATTTTTATTATCAAAGCTTATGTTGTTCTCACATCTTCTCTCACCTCTTGTTTTCATTGATTAAAAATACAAAAAGAAGCTCATCACTCTCAATTTTATTAAATAACAAACTAATCCCTAAATTGTATGTCTAGAAGTGTTTGAGACCCTAAATCTATTTTGGTCCAATATTCTCCTTCAATTTTTAACTAACAGACAAAATTAATTTTTATTAACAATAAAAACATAACAACATTGTATTGTTTTCAAAAAAATTAAAGAGAAACAATGTATAAAAAATAAGTTTAAGGTCTTAGATATTTCTAGACTTATAATTTAAAAGCGAAAATCCTTTTAATCTTATTTTCAGTATATGAATCTTAAATATGAGATTTTTTAAATTTTAAATTTAAACTTAATCTATCCATCTAAATAGTATGTCAATGCTTCAAATACTAAGGCAAATTTGCAATAATCCCGCAGGAGGCAGCAGAAGCACCGTATATAAGAAGCATGATTATGATGACTCAGATGCAACATTTGTGAAGTATGGTGGAGGAGTATTTATTATCTATGATGAGCCTGAGACCCAACTCCAACATAACCCCTTGGCATCTCTCTTCTTCTTAGAACAAGACTTGAGGCCTGGTCATGTCAAGAACTTGCTCCTCACGAAGACCTCTAACCAGGCCTCATTCCTGCCTCGTCAAGTTGTGGAATCCATTCCCTTTTCTTCTACCAAGGTATAGTGTTTGTGTTTATGCAGGCTTATATATGCTGTTTAATGGCCTATTCTACTACACTAATAATTAGTTAAGATAAAACGAGAGATATTATTATGATATCATGTAATCATAATATGATATGTAATGTTGTAATTTTTTTATATTATTTTTATAACTGCAACATACTATAATGTCACTTGTTTTATTTAGAAGTTAATGGTGAAAGAAAAAAGGGAAAACAATATCAGGAGCTGAGACATTAAAAACCACAAACTCAATTATATTTCTTTTTTATATAATACAAGAAATAGTCTCTGTTGATAATGGAGATTATTTCTCCTAAAACAGGGCAAATAATAAACCTCTTCCAATTAAGTTATTACATGCATAGGTGCTGAAATTAACCCAATTATATTCTAAAAGTACAGATGTTTCTAAATCTTATATACATATAAGGCTTTATTTGGAATGGGAAAAAATATGGAAATCAAAGAAAATTACAAGAAAAAAACCTAAGAAAAAGATACTTTACAACTTTTTCCCCCCTTATTTCGGGAAAAATCAAAGGATAAGCTTAATGTTAAGGAAAGAAAACGTTCTTTACTTTCACTTTTCTCTACTAGTAGTCTTTTTTTCCTATTCACCTTCCACTCCAAACAAACGTGTGTGCATTTGATGTAATTTATGTAATTATGATACATTTATACCAGGTGGATGAAATATTGAGGAAGTTTGCTGTGAAACTTGGATCAACAAAAGCTGAGACGATGAAGAATACAATTAAACTTTGTGAAGAGCCAGGGCTTAAAGGAGAGGAGAAGTATTGTGCGACATCGCTGGAATCCATGGTTGATTTCATCACTTCCAAGCTTGGGAGACACGTGGAAGCTTTGTCTACAGAGGTGGGGAAGGAAACAAAGAAGCAAGAATACACAATAATGCAAGGAGTGAAGGTAGGAGAGGAAAATATAGTGGCATGCCACAAGCTCAGTTATGTGCATGCTGTGTTTTACTGTCACAAAATAGAGACAACAAGAGCCTATACGGTGTCGTTGCAAGGAGCTGATGGGAGTAGAGTGCACGCAATGGCTATATGTCACACAGACACGTCAGATTGGAACCCAAAGCATTTGGCCTTTCAAGTACTAAAAGTGAAGCCAGGGAGTGTTCCTGTGTGTCACTTCCTTGCTCAAGAAACTGTTATGTGGGTTCCCAAACAAGCCTAAGCATCCATTTCAGCTGTGTGATCAGCTAGTATTACAGTAACCTCATCAAACTCATCATCTGCAAAAATGATCTATGAAGAGATTCTTCACTTCCATTCAGTCCTCCATCAATATTTCAAAAATAAGCCAGTCAATGCACCACATAATTGAAACATAAATACCATAGTTGATAACCTAAAACATCACTAGCATAAATACCATGCAAGACAAAACATACATAGTTTTGTCAGCCAGTTTTTAACAAAGATCATTTAAGGAGCGTAGAACTAACACAGAACAAGATGAAAAATAAATCACTTCTACCAAGTTGTAACTATAACATATAACGAAGAAAAGGTGGTACTAAGTTTTTTGGTGGGTTGTAAGCCGCATGCTTCAAGAAGGCCAGTAGCATTCTCCGGTTATCTTTAAGTGCTGAATAAATTGCCCATGCATCCTTATTCCTCAGGAGAGTACAACACCGTCCAAACCAATCATCATCATTTGCAATCTCCTCAATTTGACTGATTTCAGCAATAATTTCACCCATAGAGGAATCAGGTGTAAGAAATGACTGTATAGAAGCTGTTTGTGACTCAAATGCATCAGATATTCGATTCAATGCATCAAGTATTTCCCTCTTGACTGAAAGTTTCTCCCTTTTCTTCTCTTTATTTCTCTCACCATGTTCACCTCTCTTCCGTTTTCTACTTGAATTGGTAACACCATTGTGTGCTCCAATATTGCTTAAATTAATTTGCTCAAGCTCAGAACCTTCTCCACCACTCATCCTATGAATTTCATCGTTGTCTCCTAATCCCTCTTGTAAGTCCATTTCAAGACTTCATGCATCAGCAGCCGCAAGCGTCCATATCTGTGACCTGTGTTGTGATATCCTTGAATAATACGGTTAATTCATGAACAAAGGGAAGCGGTTTATATCTTAATTTCTTGTACGCCAGATTCTCCTACATGTATACAAGAAATCAGCATGAGATATTTAAGGAAAATAATACCAAACATATATTGTGACAATTAAAATTTCATACCTTGATCTTTAAATCAACCATATGCAAGTATCATTGTACTGTTTTATAATTAACACAAAATTACTGGATTGTATCCATCAACTGCCAAGTACCAACAAACGATAGCAAGCCAGAGTCACCTAATCTCAGATTATAACTATTAACCGCTACTTAAAGTTTGTTTGTTGTATTAAGGCCTGCTCACCTGAAACAAATAATTTATCTTCTCCTTCCCTCTAAACCTAAGTCATACAAGGAAGGAGTGCAGTAATATCAACACACTAATAGGTTCGAAAGAGAAGCAGAGTCGTCCATCCAGTCACCTTCAACTATATGCATTGCTGGGTGGGGGTTTATGGAAAAAAATGAAAATTGTTACGCAGAAAACTCGTTCTCTGGGAGTCAACTCTCTGTACTCAACAAGAACGTGTGTTGCTTAACTCTATGAATATCTACTTGCTTGGACTGATCATTAGACCCCAAAGGCAAGCAGAACCCAGTAATATGGGCAAACTTGTAGGCAGATTTTCAGGGCAAGAATGATTCCTCCCCTGCTGAACATCAGTTCCCTGGGCATTCTATCGTGCAATCAAACAATTTCTAAGCGTTTTCCATACTTTCAATATTTTAAACTTCTCTCTTCTGACCCCATCTATTTGCTGTGTTTGCACTTTGCATCTTGTAAGTGTTTGGGTGTAGCAGCAACTGCCTTCCTAGGCTCCACCATCATAGAGGTATTTATAACGTTGCTCTCCCTTGTATATCCCTTTAATTGTGTACCTTTTTTCGGTTTCTTCAACTTAAAAGCCTAATACTTAAGTAATTCAACCCAGTCACCTATTCACAAAACCAAAAACAAAAACAAAGAAAGAAAAACAAAAACAAGAAAATAGGGTAAACTGATAGTGCGTATAACGACTTTCCTTGAATCCCCAAAAATGGACCATGAATTCTGCAAAAATTTACCACCCACAAATCAAAATTGTATGACGAGCATTATACATGAAGCCTTAATTAGATTTCACCATTGACGACATGAAATAGAAGCGAACAGCATAAAAATCCAGCGGACATACCCAACCCATGTACGAATCGATCAACATCAATACAATAATCAGATCTGTGTCTAAAAAAAAAAGAGAGATCCGTGTGTTGCGATTACACCTGGTTTCAATCCGAGGAAATGTCGTCATTAAAAATAGACCATAACCCTCTCCCGCATTTTTCACACGCATTCTCAGTGCATTTTATTGGGCTAGAAGAATCGACATCATTCAATAGCCCTGAAGCGAACAGAGGAAAGAACCCGAAATAAACACACTGGAAATTTGAATGCTTCAGCGAACATCAAAGAAAAACAACAAAAAAAAAAAAATTCAGAACCAGCAGCAGCGACCACCAGACATCAACGATCAATTTTTTTTTTTAAGAAAACAAATTTCAGCCACCTACAACAGAATCAGCAAGCATCTTCGACGAAGGGAAAGAACGGAAAATTTCATAACATCAATCACAGATCACAACTATAGCATCGTTTACCTCACACTTTAGGCGAAGGGGAAGTCAATCTGAAGCAGAAAGGAAGAGCTCGGCGGCGGCGTGTCCGACGTCGCGTGAGATGTGAGCAAAAGGGAGGTAAAGGGTGTTGGGGGCAACAGGGGGCAGCATGGGAAAATTGTCTTTAGAAAAAAAAAATTAAAATAAAAGGGAAAAAATCACTGCAACCCAGCTTATAAAAATTAACATGTCAATATAAATTCATGTTTAATTGTTAACCAACCATGTTAATATTTAGGATGTGCTTGGTTTGAGTAGAGAGAAGAGAAATTTTAATGGAAGAGAGAGAAAGGGAAAAGAGTTTTAATGAAAGGGAGGGATGATATTTTATTTAATTCAGAAGGAGAGAAGAGAAAAAATAAATATATATAAATAATTTTACCCTTACATAAGTAAGATTGTTTTTCCTAATAAAATACAGCTATAAATATTTTTAATATATAATTATAAGTAGATAATTATCCATAGTACATATATATATTGCCAATAATATATTTAATAATAATTTATTCAAAGTTTTTAAATCAAAGGTATGAGCAAGCATTAAGTTTATCATATAAAATAAAAGAATAACAAAACATGAAGAAAAAAATAGAAGAACAGCAAAAATTAAATAAAAGGAGGGGAACAAAAATGATAGTGTAAGTTAGGAGAAGGAATGCAATTTGAATACAGGAACACATAATAACAAAAGAGAAAAAATACTTTTGAATTATCATATTATAAAAAAGATATATTAGTCCAATATAATATAATTACACCCCTCCCCTCCTCATCCCCCCTATTTTGGAAGGGAGGGGAAGGCCTTCCATTTTTACAAATTAACCAAATAAAGAGAGGGGAGCAAAATCTCTCTCCTCCTCTCCCTACAAACCAAACATACCTTAAAGAAAAATATAGTATTGATCATTAGAGAGGAATATAAGTTTAATAATTGTCTCTATTGTATACAAGTTCTATTAAAGCCTTCCAAACCTAGCATGATTAATCTCCAATAAAACAAATAGTTAACCATTAATAACACACACAAAACATATATACAAACTTTAGTGTTGCACTACATATTCACCTAAAAAATGCACCAAAAAGATGTTTAGGAATAGGCCTTTCAGAATTATTCAACATCAATGCTTCCATTTCCTTCGATGAGTGCTCACAAATTTATATAACATTGGCTTGGACCAAAATAGACTTGTTATTGTTGACGAGCATGTTATTGGAGCTATCATATGTGTAAAAGGTATGATCTTTCGTGTCCCCCAACTATTTTCAACACATATATCCAACAATCATGTGGGCTTTGACAGTTTAGGCAATGGGGTTCCTAAGTGTAATAGTAGTATTGACAACAAATTTAAAGCAAAAAAAAAAAAAAACTTTGGTTGCCAAACTTGGAATATCCAAATTTCAATAAGTTCTCCAATAACTACAAAAAAGAATTATGGAAGTGAATGTGAACTATATTATTTCAAACTGGTTTTTGATAGAATTCATATGGAATATAAATGACTTCGGAATAATGACAGAGCTTAAATCTATCTTAAGAAACTTCACTGGCTTCTCTTGGACATCTAGAAGTACATTATGTCTCATGATCTTAAAATTTGCAAACATCGTGAGCCTTTTTATTTTTGAGTTCCTATTTTTCTTCAGGGAAGCAAAATTAATTATTCGCATGCTTCATGTTTTAACTTTATTTTTTTTTTGTTAAGCGATTTATTGTACTTTCTTTAAAATCAATTCAGTAATATATGTTTACCATTATTTTCCTCTTTCTTATTTAAAACTATTTGTATAATCACAACATGTTTCACTATGACTCAATCATAGTATGAACATAAAATAGTAAACTAATGTATGAAACAATTGGATAATGAGTTCACTTTTTAATACAACTGTTATTCCTTATCACTTTTCTTCCAATTCTGCTTGGCTTTATAGAATCTGAACACAAACCCGAAGATGGAAAATGCCAATAAGACTACACATGACACGTGTGTAGAATTTTTAAAAGGAAAAAATAACAAGAAAGAAAATTCATCCACCCCTTCCAACAACAACGTTTAGCAAGCCTAAATTGTCTTAATTTGAATTTGGGAAATTGAGTTTTTCAGATTTTAAAATTGTGAACAACCTCAAGAGCATTTACTCTTCTCTAGATTTTTATTTTATAATATATGGGTTGAATTCTTTCTCCTTGCTTTTGATAAAATAATACTTTTTCTTAAAAAAGAAATAAACTTTTAAAAAATTTAAGGATGATTGTTATATCTTTAAAATTTAATAGTATTATTTTAAAAAAGCTCTGCAATATTCTAATTATTTTTTGATGCACTTATCATATGGTCATAAGAGCACTTTTAAGGATAAAACCAAACACAAAGTAACTGCCGGTTTCTATAACATTTATGTCTGACAAATAATTTTTGAGAAAATATATAAAACTTTGAAATCTCATAAAAATGATTTTTTTTTTCAAATAATTAGTCACATAACCTTATTTTCTTTCACGTCATGAAGAATAAAAAGACAAATTATGTTGAATGATGGCATTAGGTTCGAGAAGGCAAAGATTCATGAGTATAAGCTTGAAAGGAGTAATTGTAAAGGTAAAGAGTAAATAACTCTATACATACAAAAAAAGTTTATATAACTCGTACGCTTTACTACTAGATTGATGCTTTACAGTGGATAGTAAATGAAATGAAAAAAAAAAACGTGTGTGTGTGTGTTGTCTTATGATCTTCACATTGACATACTCTAGTTCTGCCCAGCATGTGAACAATTTCATGTACTTTTCAAATTTGTTGATCATTTAGGAAATTCAAATGAAGCCGTTGAATTTGGAGGTAGTACAACAGTCATATTAGGATGAGGATTCTCAAGTAGACCCATTTGAGGCATGAAAACTTGTGTAAGAGTATGACTTTGGAATGAGCATGATTCAAATTCGTGGTCTTGGTTATAGAGTTAATATTCTGCAACCAGGGCCATTGCGTTGCATAAAATTTAAGAAAAGAACCACAATATTCAAGAACTGTGGATAGCGTGGCTTGTTGATTATTGTATCTCTTTATTTTGCATTGTTAAAAGTGTTTTATGATTTACTTATAAATGAAAAGGAAACTATATCTAAAATACCATAAGTTTTACCTTCTTGGGATTATGAAAGGAATTCTCATCCTTAACATTAGTAGATGTGAGCAATGTAAAAGTTGATCCAGAAAGATCTGCATTCAAGTCCAAGCCGTCAATTGTAATGCCAAGAGTCACCATCTTGTCATCAAAGTTCACAACCTATAGCAATATTTGGGATTTGAAATGAATATATGCCCATTTAGTGTTCGATTAACTCAAGCACGATGGATCATCCATGTTACCTTGATTCTCAAATAACTCTTTTGGTTCTCACGATTTTCCCAAACAATTGCCGATGCGACAATGGAAGCTGGGGCTTCAAGTGTTGAGTTAACATATGTAGCTCCACTTGACTGTGAGAAGAGTTGTTGTAACCAATAGCCTGGAATTACATAACTTTGGTATGAATCAAATACAATAGTGTCTGGTATTCACCTGTAAACCCACATAGAATCACACAATCTCAATCTCATACTATACAAATTTATAAATATATTAAAAAAAGAAGCTCAAAAAGAAAAAATTGGATGTGTTACTTTTTGTCATTTATATTTACAAAAAGTGGCGCATAGCAGACCATTCCCACAACATCACTGCATCGCAGCAAGACAGGATATTCGTCAGCAAGTGAGTATTATGTAAGTTGTAAACTGACTAAACAAGATCCTTAAGAAAATTTGACAATCAAGAGAATAATGAACCTGTTCTTTTCCAACCCCATAAGGAATGAAGCTTCACTCAAGGCAGACATGAGGGTTCCAAATCCAGCATCTTCTTGCCAAATAGCATACTCACTTACGAATGCTTTGGGGCTAGCACAATTCAAAGAATCAAATTTGTTATACATTGAGAAGATACCCCTAGAGCTTGTATAAACATGGAAATCAAACAAGTTTGCTGGATAATCTAATGGAGCAACGGTAGCATCACAGTTCAAGATCATTTGAATACCAAGATAGTAATGCTTTATGGCATTATAGAACTTAAGGAAATTTCCTAGGTAGTTAGTTATACATCCCACAATCCTCTTTTCCAATAGCAATGTGTCGTAGCTTGAAAGGTCCAGGGTGTCCCAAAGAAGCCTTACCTTGCCCCCTTTTGGATGTGAGAGGACCTCTTACAAACTCAATCCCTTCTAGAGCTTCCTGTAAACATTAAAGCAAAACAAAATTCTACAATACATTGTTTCAAATAAAACATCATATCATTCAGGAGCTCAACTCCTTCTAGCCAGTAGACAAAATATATAACAAAAAAAGACCATAGTTACAATCTATGTGGAGCACCTAACCATACTTTTCAAAATTAAAATAGTAAGCATTTATAATTACATCAAAAAGAGGAAATTTTAATCAATTCTCCACCCAGCACGTCTGAAAGCCTCTCAAGAGTCAATAGGAGGACCAGCGTCAACTAAGGTATGAGGCCAAAAAAAATTTTCCAATAAATAATGTCCTAACAATAAATAATTGAATATGAATAAAAGGAAAGTTTGAACTAATAATGTAAGTTAAAGAGATAAGGATTTCCATAAAAATTTAATGAACTTCGAAATAAAATGGCTCTATATAACTTTAAATAAAATTTAAACCATTAAACTATCATAACAAATGTTATTATCACTTGAATTCAAGAAAGCACATAAACAAAATAAATACCTATAAATAAATTACTAATTAAAAATCAATGGAATGTAAAATCACCAAACAATCAAATTTAAAATTATAAGGACTTATTAGAATAATTAACAAATGTAGACACACAGTCTATAAGAAAAAATAACCAAACGTGGCTTATGCCACAAAAAAAAACATGGACACACAATTCACGAGGGTAAGTAACCAAACACAATCAAAGCCATGAAGATAAACATGGACACACAATCTATGAGATTAAGTAACCAATCATAGCTCGAAGCCATGAAAACAAATATAGGTATTAAACTTATGTATAACAAACGTGAAAATAAAGCTCATGAAAATCAAACTAGTTAGTCATTAAC